TCCGATCCTGTCGAAACAGCACGTTTCCTGGTTAATTGACTCCGTTAGATGACCTCGGTGATTTAGATTGATTTTAAACCGGGGTTGTCGTTACAACAAAAACAGCATCATTAATCGCGTAATCGATCGATTAGATTCTTTCGAGAAAACAAGGTTTACTTCTCATATATAAAGGTGAACTAAGCCCTTTTCGTTTTAATTTGGACAAAAGTTAGTGGCAATATTTCGAATTTTAGTAAAGCTGGATAAACATTTTCTACTTTTATGGAACTTACTCACGAAATCTTGTTCCTAGATATTTCTCGAAACACCCTGCTGCCTTTTTGATCTACTAGGGATTACTGCGGATTGCGTTCACTTGATTAAAGAAGCATGATTACACATAATTTAAAAAAAAATCATAAAAATATAAAAGTACACCTTTAAAACTCGATTCGACCCGGTTCAGAACAGGAGATTCACAAATAATAATTGGGGTGTATGTTATTATAAAATAGGTTGTTAAAACGATTGCTCCTAACTACCCAAAAAAAAAAACTAGCTTTTTTTTCAAAGTGAAGTCATTGCGGCCGGACGTGTTTTGTCTACGCTCGAGAGTTTAATATTGTTTCGGTGGCAATTTAAATAACCATTCTTGATATTGTTTCAGTGAGACAGTTTGTTTGTTTGTCTACCCGTTGAAGCTGATTTTCCTGTATATATTTGTGTATTTGTGCTCATATTATGAGTTTACTTTTTAAATAAATATGAGCACCTCAGCCAGCCGATCCAGTCTAAAACGCCGTGCTAGCAGAGAATCACTGTTTGCCAAGTCTCTTCAGCTCGAGACGATCAGACGATCACAATAACAATGCTCTCCCCACTTTACTGACTGCAGTACGAGATTTGGAGGAGAGAGTGAAAATGCAAACAGAAGAGATGCACTCACTTTTTAACAGGCTCTCTTGCAAAATCAATGATATGCAAGAGATGCTCATGAAGAAGCTGAGTGATGAAGTCAATGCATTAAATCTGAAGTGCAATGAGTCTGCTGAGCGCGTTTCACGACTTGAAGCTGATGTGAAACAACAAGAATGTGAAATGCGGAAACTTAAAGCAACAATAAACTTGCTGTCAAGCAGAGGTGAGAGTTCTCAGGCAGATGCATGTATGTCTCTTCATTGACTTTTTGGTACCACAGATACGTAATGCGTTCAGAATAAAACAGTCGATTATGATAATCATAAAATTTTATTTTATGCTGATCGCGCGCGTACTCTTCGCGCATTTTCTGAATTTCGAAAGAGAATAAAATCGGCAATTTCTCTAACATCTATAGGAATTGATGGTAAGTTTAGCATCTTCGAAAGCCTGTCTACCGAGAACAGAAAAATTTTACAAGAAGGTTTAAAACTAAAACGTTTAGGGAAGCTGCAGTCGGAGTTCTCTATGAGAGGAGATGTTTTTGTTAGACTCAGTACAGACTCCACTGCATGTAAAATTGGAAATGTTGATGATCTTCAGCGATTTCGTTAACATTAACTTGTTGTATTTATATTTAAATTTGTATTGTAGCTTAATTTCATATATGTTTTATTTGCATGTTTTTGTAAAAATGGTCATTTTCTTTTCCTTGTTTTATATTGTTATTCTTGAGGTTGCTTATGTTTTTATTCTTTGTGGGCATACAAAACAACTGTCCTAGTGTTGGCATGAACAGTCTCATGATTGATGTGCTATGTAAACAAAACAATGGTTTCAACATAGTCCATATCAATGCGCGGAGTCTAAGTTCAGATAAAATGGATTATGTTCGCAACACATTTGAGTTTTCATCAGTGATGTCGTCTGTGTTTCTGAAACATGGTTTGATGAGGATTTATGTTACTCTTTTACTAACATAAAAAACTACAAATTAATACGTAATTACAGACCAGGAAGAAGAGGAGGTGGGGTTGCAATATTTTGCTGGGACATATTTTCTTTGAAATTACTTTCAAAATCTGCTGATAGTGATATTGAATATTTAATTGTAGAAGTAATTCGAAAAAAAGATTCCATACTGTTGTTTCTTGTGTTTATAAACCTCACCGAACTAATGTTGTCACACCTTTTTTTTGATGTAATTTCTTTATATGTTCTTAAATATAATTCAGTTATAGTATGTGGTGATTTTAATGTTAATCTTCTTGTCAACGACTCTTGACAATCTATCCAGTTGCGCTCTCTCTGTGGTTAACCGATCTCTTCCTACGCGGTTTGCAGTGAATTGCACTCCTAGTCTTCTTGACTACTTCATAATTTTTGACTTAACTACTGTATTAAAATTTGACCAATTAACTTTTGTATCTGACCATGATCTCATTTTCTGCTGTTAGGACATAAATATCGATCGTTGTTGTATAAATAAGACTATCTCATTTAGAGATTACCGCTTTGCCAACACAAATTTACTTCTTTCTGAATTGTATGGTGTAGACTGGAGCTATATCCATCTACCGATGAAAAACTGGTTTTCTTAACGGGAATTTTAAAGTTTGCCTTCGAGGGACATGTCCCTATTCATACAATCACTAATAAGTCGATGTTCTGTCCATAGTTTACCTCAAAATCTCTGAAATCAATTGAGTTACGAAATAAACTTTATTCCATATGGAAAAAGAAACCTACGTTGGAGAATGCCTTTAAATCGGCTCGAAACAGAGCGACCCTTGTTACCAGAAATGAAAACCGAGCTTATTTTAACAAGAAACTAAATTCTGGTCTCTCAACAAAGGTTCTATGGCGTAACAATAAACGATTTGGTGTTCATTGTAACGAGAATGTCGAATGTTCCTTAGGAGCAAATGTAGTTAATAGTGCCTTTCTTCTAAACTGTGTACCTCACAGTGACTCTATTAACTTTATATCCAGGGGTGATTTTTTTTTAGGGATTATTGCTTTGTATTTTCAGCTGTTAGTGAATATGTTGTTGCAATGAGTATATTTAAAATCTCATCCAATGCAATGGGGCATGATTGTTTACCAATTAAATTTATTAAAATTATACTACCTTGCATTCTTGGGACACTAACGTACATTATTAATCATTGTATTACCACGTCTTGTTTCCCAGAGCAATGGAAAATTGGCGCTGTACTACCTGTCGCTAAAAAGAACCATCCTTGTAGTCCGTCTGATTTTCGTCCAATAAGCATCCTCCCCGTATTGTCTAAAGTTTTTGAGATGCTCTTAACTAAGCAAATAAACGAACTTTTATGCAAGCACAACTTAATATCTCCGTTTCAATCAGGCTTCAGGAAAAATCACAGCTGTAGTACTGCGGTACTAAAGATCAGTGATGACATTCGATCCAACATGGATGAAAATAAATTCACCTTGCTTTGCTTACTTGACTTTTCAAAAGCATTTGATATGGTCAACCATGAGTTATTAAGCAGTAAGTTGAAAGCGTACTTTGGTTTTAGTTCTAGTGCTTTAAAACTTGTGAAAAGCTACCTGGTTGACAGGTTTCAGTTTGTAAAAATTGGGGAAGACACATCGCAACTCAAGCCAGTTACTTCAGGGGTGCCTCAAGGCTCCATCCTTGGTCCCCTACTTTTCAGCATATTTATTAATGACATCTTCAGTGTGTGCAAATTTTCAAACCTGCATGGTTATGCTGATGAAATTAAGTTATATTTATCTGCACCTTTTGATCAAGCTAAAGAGTTATGTAAAAGCATCAATACTGACTTGGCTGATATCTCTAGCTGGGCGGCTGCCAGCAGTCTAATTTTAAATAAAAACAAGTGCTGTGTGCTGCCAATCAGTGCAAGAAAACTGACAAATCTGGATTTGTTGCCCCCAATATTCATAGACAATTGTCCCTTAAAATTAGTCAGCAAGATTAAAAACTTAGGATACATTATTAACTCTAATCTTACATGCACGGATCATGTAAACTCCATTGTTAGTACGGTCTATCTCATTCTGAGGAATCTTAGGCAGTCAGCTATCTATACACTCACTGCTACCAGACGTCGACTTGCTATACAAATTATTCTTCCGGTCATCATGTACTCTGAAGTCGTATACAGCAAACATGACAGTTGTTCTGTTCGTAAAATTGAAATGAAATGTTTAATATTGTCACACGGTATGTGTTTGGTCTTTCCAAATATGAGCACATCTCGTTTTGGAAAGATCAGATATTAAGATGTACGATTGCGGACTATCATAAAGCCAGAAATCGTATTTTTCTTTGCAAACTCATTATGACTCAATCTCCTAGTTATCTTTTTTCCAAGTTATCGTTTACTCGGTCAGCCAGAGTAGGTAATAAAATAATACCTTTTAATAAATCACAACAATCATCAAGGCTGTTCTTTGTCAATGCTAGTCGATTATGGAACTCTCTTCCTGCTAATTTAAGGAGAAAATTAAACAGAAGCAATTTCAAGAACCACATATATATGCATTTTAAAGGCCAAATTTCAAACATTGACTGACCATTTAATAATTGTTTAAGCTTTTGTCATACTCAGCTCATTATATATTATTATTATTTTTGTTAATGTATCTGTAAAGTAATATTTACTTATTCTTCACACTATCTCTGTTGTACTAAAATAGATATGGAAATCTTATTGTACTAATGCTATGTTATTATTATTGAATAAATAAATAAAATAAAAATATCAATTGAAAAATAATTATTATTACGCTGCTGAACAAAAGACCAGTTTACAAAGGGTGATTTTTTAGTTCTTATCTTTTTGGCAACACTAATTAAAACAGCTGGCCTACGTTTCGTGTTTTGTATCACTGTCAAACAACTTCAGTTTGGTCTATAATTTAACCACACCAACGAACAACGCTTGCAAATTATTGAATTTTATTATCAAAATGCGTGCTCTGGAAAGAAATTTCCAAAATGTCGGAAAGGGTATGCCAAAATTGGACTAAGCAGATGAACCATTTGAGACGTAGTCACGGTCAACATTTGCATGAGATATCTTTCAAACATTAAATTATATGGACCGTATAATCGATTCAAATAAAGATTTCATGTATTTTGCTGAATTTTAAGTGTTTTTTTTTTGGAAGAACCTTTAAAATCACTTTCTATTGCGTTAAGAAAGTTTAAATATTTACAAAGTTTTAAAAGAGCACTACAGCAAGATAAGAACAATATTTATGATCATGTATCTAGTAAGTTAAAAATTTTAAAATTACATGTGCTTAGTTAATTTGAAGATTTTGTAATAACCTGTAATCATATTTTAATGAAGATATGTTTTATAACATGTAGGATTTAAAATAAATGCATTTTCTTTTTCAAAACAGCTCTCTCCAAAAACCTCATCAGCCTATTTTCTAATTCAAAAACTCGTCTTCAAGCTTAAATCTTTGAAAGAAATAAATGGAGAGTATAATTTTCCAAAAGCTAAGTAAGTCTAAATCTTTTTATCGATTTTCCGTAAATAGCAACTTTTTTTAATACTAGGTTAACATAGATACGCCTTCCATGTGTAAACGTATATATTTTGAAAAATGTATTTTGCAAATATAAGCATTTTGAAATGTAGTTGATAAAACCTTGTATTCTTACCGTAAAAGGCACTGGACTTAGAAGAACGGATAACAATGCATATTTCACTGCTAACGTGGCGAGGGCTATTAACTGTGACCGAATTATATCTAACAATTAAAAACACTTTTCATCCTTGACAGCTGCCGACTATTCACATTCAATGGATAAGTAACTAGACGTTCACCCACACAAGCCGGATGTTTACCCTCTCTCAAAAATATGGAAAGAAACTTGACGGAAAACTATATTTTTAGTGAGGGCGACTATTCAATTTTTACATAATGAGATGCTAAATTGTCTGAAATATAATTGCCTCCAAGAATGTCATAATTTAATGAAGAACAACTGAAATAATTATGATGTCTATCAGGACATCGCCAGGTCACACACGTTTTAGTGACGCGCCAAAAGCTCCAGGAGCTCGGATGGGAGGTCCTAACGCAACCACCTTATAGTCCGGACCTGGCACCAAGTGCCAGGCCAACGAGCTTAATGATGAGAAGTTGGTCTCCAGAGAGGCCTGATAAAATTGGCTCTCCGATTTTTTTGCCAATAGGGACGCAGCCTTTTACGTAAGTGAAGTTGGCATCTCGTTGGCAACAAACTTACGAACAAAGCAGCACATATTTGTCTTAAATCGGACAAATGTACAGAAAGTTATCATATTTTGAACAATCAATAAAAAAAAACCGACCGATCATTTTACATGACCTAATATATATATACATATAATTGGCGCTTTGTAAACGGCCGAGCTGCTGTTCCAATTCTTTGTTTGGCGTGTTTATGTTTTTTTCAACAAATGTAAGAATCTACAGTTCATACTAAGCCGCCCGCAAAGGGCTGATTATTTCTTATGAGCAAATACGCTCGGAGGGGTTGACATTCCCAGCCGAAGGTAGACCGCAGTTAGTAAATTTAGCTTCCTTTTTTATTTAAATACATTTTTTTAAACTCGAACTCGAGCCTTCCAAATGGCAGTTTGCAATGCTAATCACTCGGCTACCGCGGCCGCTGATTTATTAAATTAATTTGATATACATTAATATTTATGTATGCAACGGGCTTTGAAAAGTTCCGAAAAGATCCGCAGTTTTCGAGCGATGAGGCCGATTGGTGGCTGTAAACAAACAAAATTGCCATACCTGGGACGTAGCAGCCTGGATTGATGCCGGTGAGACCGTCAATGCTCGCCATGATAACCGAAATTGAAGCTCGTTATCTTGGCGATATTTGGTTTTAACATACGGCGCCACTTCCCACTCATGTTATTGTTATTGTTGTAGCGGTTCGCTAACCCCGCTTAGGTAAAGGTTTTATCAATCTAAATTGCCGAGGTCATCAGGTTCCTATTGGGGGGCTCCCTGCGGTGACATCCCAATAGGAGCCGCGTGCTCAACAAAGCATTATGCTCCTCAACTTCTTGCGTAGATGCTTCATTATGCAAGTAATGCTCCGGCGGCATCAGGAGGTGTCTTGTGTTCTGGCAGGCCTGTAGCTTCTTCATCTGCGTCTCGTCGTATGCGGAGTGAAGAAGTTCAGGCTGTCTTGTGTTACTCTTCATAACTTTGGGTTGTTTACCGTTGGAATTCTTACGTCATCAACCTTCACATCTAGTTCAAGCTTGTATTCCTTCGTCTGCTTCGTTCAGCTGGTGAAGAGGGTAGCCGAGGATTTGGTCGGCTGTATTTTCAGTTGTCGTACAATGAAGAAGTGAGAAAGATCGGCAAGGTAGCAGTTCACTTTCGAACAGAGGACATCAATATCCTGGCCAGACGCCATTATCGTGCAATCATCGGCATACGAAGTTACGGAAACTCTTTTTGGTGGAGGAGGGAGTTTCGAAATGTAAAAATTAAACAAAAGCGGGGAACCCTCTGTTTAATTTTTCGGGGTTTCGATATTTCACTTCGCAAAAGACCCACCTCTGCAACCCCGCTGGTAATGAGAATTCCTCGAAATCCGTTAGTAGCACTGAATGGTTGACTGTGTCAAAAGCTTTTGACAAATCCAGAGCTACTTTTATAGCTCGCGGGCAGGGTTGGTTTAACCAAAACCAAGCCATTGACTATCTGGGTGTTTATGGCATTTAGTGCACCACAGTTCACTTTTTGGAAGCCATGCTGATGTGCTGCTTGACGCAGATGGTCAGTGAAGGTCGGGAGCAGCAGGGCGGGACCACCCTGTCCGTTTCCACACATCAGGTATCATTAGGGTGATCAAAGACAAGTTTAGGACCTTGGTGAGAAACTGTGCTCCCGCTGGTCCAAGATTTTTTAGCATCAGCGAGCTAATTCCGTCGCGGTCGAAGGATTTGGAGGCTTTCGCCTTCCTGATGACCCCCTGAATCTTTTCCCTGGAGAAATCAAGCACAGCGCATACGGCGGATTTCACGTCTCCTCGCTTTGTCTACCGAAGGATGCAGTGGAAAAAATCGGCTTAAATAGCTCCCGCATCTTTTCGGGTTCGACAATCTCTATGCTACTACTGCCGCTTGGGCGCTTTTCCGCCATTCGGACTGCCGGGATAAAGCGGGCGGCAGCGGTCACGACAACCATGCGGAATAAACGTTCACCAGTAGTAACGTCTGATGGCGTGGGGAGAGCACTAAAGGCGTTCTCGGTAAATTCCGTTAAGTCGAACCAGTTATCTTTTTTAAAGTTTACAAATGTCCGGTGACCCATGGAAACAAAGTCGGGAGGCTTGTTAATGTCTGTGAAACTGTAGAGGTCTGTTGGTTACCCATAGTGGGTAAAGGTGCTGAAGACACTGCCGTGGAGGCTGGGGGCGCGCTTGGGCAGCATGGGGCCACATAACTTGTGGTTCAATCCCTATTGGTGCAGAAGTAGTCCATCGGCCCAGGGTTGGTTTCGACGCCAGCCCTAATAAGAGGGATTTGGAGCAACCCAGCTGCGAGGCGTTGACCGTTGGCGAGCCGGATAAAAACCGGGGCAACTCCGGTAAGTAGAACCGAATTTATTGAGAGAACATTTCCGTGAGCGCATATCTTCACGTTTTGTACCATTTGCTTGGCCACCAAGGTCGTTTGATATCACACTGGTAGACTTTTATCTCGTGTGGATATAAAATGTCTAAAGTCGATGCGGTCAATCCCACATCGATTCAGACTTGAAAGCAAAACATCATGCCTATTATTCGAAAGTTACCATTTGAAATGCTCGAACGGGAAACCGAAGATTGGACTCAAGAAATGGACCATCTGAGACGTAATCGCTGCTAATATTTGAGAGAGAAAGTTTTCAAAAATGAAATGCCAGAGAATGTTCTTAATTCATGCCCTTACGTTTGAATTCTCCGTTTTTTAGATGTTGAAGAAAGTAGGGAAGCCAGAAATGGAGCACCCCTTATAAATAACTAGTATAAAGGGCTAAGTTCAAGTAAAACTGATTATAGGAATCCAATTGTTATGGTAATATGTGTGAAAAAGGTAAATGTGGACCTACGTGCAAACATACATATATGTATATGTCAAATTCAATATTTAGAACTCAATTATTCAACAACCACTTTCAATTATCGAATTCGGTTTCTCCCCGAAAATAATAAAATATATATGATTTGGCCGCATTTCATCAAGAAGGTAACAAGACATAAATTTGCATTAAAATTTTTCTAAGGCAAAATATATAAGTGTGTTAATAAGATTTCAGTTGTGTTATTTGTTTTTAAATCAACGCAATTTCTTTAATATTTGAAAATATCTGTTGTTTGTTTCCGAGATCTTATTATCTCCAAAAGGACAAGTTACATAAAACAACGATATCTTTATTTTATAGCACAATGGATTGTGCGAGTGGAAAATTTTAAATGTTATTCTAGTTAATTATTGCAAGGATGAAGTAATATATATTTCAGCATCACTAGTTACATTTTTTTCGAAATTCTATTAGGTAGATACATACCTACTATATACCCATATACCCATACCATGTATGTATGTATGTACCTCGATTATTTTTAAACTACAACCTTTAATTGAACAAAACAGAGCTACGCTGTGTACATAGTGTAGTCGGATATAAAAATGTTGACTACCGCATACACATACATAATTAAATGTTATACAAACAGAGCAATTGGTAATTTTAATATTGCAGCAGTTACATTTACTGGGTCGTTTTCATACTTTTCTTTTAGAGTACACATTCAAAAGATGAAGTGTACTCGTATATCATAGTCAGTTTACCGTCAGACTCTGCCAAAAACATTTTCCTTTTACTATTCCACTATTAAGCTAGCTTATTTAATTATTTGACGTGTATTCAGAGTTGCTTATTTATAATTATTTTATTTTATATGTTCCATACTTAAAAAAAAATATATTAAAAACTATTCAAATCTTATTAAAGTATTGTTATTTACGCACGATAGCAAGAGTACAAAACATAGAAGGTAATCTTCTGCGATAAAGTGAAATAGAAAAAGACGGTACGTTTTATGGCATTCTCGGCAACCGTAAGCATTTAAAATGTCCAAATTTTTTTGAATTTCTATTAGAATCATGTGCTTATTATATATATTTCGTATATAGTAATATATGTAATCTTTCGACTATATACTTATGTATACACGTATGTTAGTACATAAATACGCCATGATACTCGTATTTGTTAAATATAATCTATTATATTAAAACATATATACATATGTATATATACATATATTTATATTTTTTAAATAGTCACTCATATAAAATATTAATTTATTCAACAAAAACGTTTCCTATTCCCTTCAATTCATAAATATTTGCCGATAAATATTGGCGACATTTTAAATGAAATATATATATTTTTAAATACAACTAGTACATGCTAAATATACATTCATATTTATGTCATAGTATGATATTTGCGTTATATTTTCATGCTAGAATATGTACAAATATACACACATTACTTACAACTAAAACATGCCCAGTATTAACCACCAAAAATGGATGTACGAGTATATATGTTTGTGCATATTCCACTTGCACTCATCTATAAATTCTGCATAGATTCTATTGTAGATATTATATATATCTACATATGTACACACATGTAAATACATACTATATTGCACTAAGTGTAGCTCGTTAAAAAATAGAAATCTGTTTGTGTATTTTTAATTTTACATCTTGTTCATTTTGCTGTAGTTGTTGTTATATATATATATATGTATGCAAATCTTCGCAAGTTGTAAATGGTGGCCTCTTTGTGATATCTGAAAGCATGTAAGACATATAATATATGTTTTTATATATTCATCGTTATATACACAAAAGGATTTTGTAAATTTCAGTCATTAAATCCATTACTATGAGTGGTGGGGTTTGATAAAAGGGCTGAAAGCTCATATCTGCTTAAGTAGTTGAAAAACTAACTTTTATAGAAGGTAGTTTGTTCTTTTCATTTTACGCCATTTCCAATGCGATTCTCCGGAGACAACTTCCTTATAACTTGCAAATCTACCCGTGCTTTCTACTCGTAGAGAATTGCTTGGAATATTTTTTATAAAGCTTCCAAAGCGCGCTAATTTGCAATTAATCGATAGGTTAGATCACAATTTTCAAAATAAAGTTAAAAATCTTGAGTTAAATAGACCCTCTTGCCTTTGATGTCAAAATTCCAATTGTACATTTTACTTGAAGGACTTCCACCTATTCCGTTCAATGGCACACGGCCTGGCAGATCAACATTTTCAATCCTTCGAAGAATTGGAAAAATGGATTACTTCATGGATAGCTTCAAAAGAGGACTCCTTTTTTCGAGCCGGGATCCGAAAATTGCCGGAAAGATTGGAGAAAGTCATCGCTAGCGAAGGAAAATACTTTGAATAATATATCTGTAAGCACTTTTTCGCAATAAAGCTTTTAATTTTGGAAAAAAAAACGGCGTAAACAAAGTTGTACACCTGATACAAAACGATCCTGACAGAGGTAGGAGTCTTAAAGTGTCCCAGGCGCTAGCTACGAAAATCAACTGCTACAAAGAAATGTATTTTGCGTTTAAAAAGAAAGATATTTATCAAGCATTGGAGGAATATTTTTTGATAAAAAGCTGACCTCCGACAACAGACACTAAGGTCTTATCAGGAAGTCATGAAAAGATTTAAAACTGTTCAGCTACAGCCAAACAAAGTCATGAGATGAAATATACGTTTTCTATTAACGAAATTTAGTGTGTTACTTAAGAAAAGTTAGTACAGTATTTTTCGTTACGAAAAGCAAATCTATCAAATCAAATGTGCTGGAATAACAATGGAAATCATAGCATATGCGGCGAAATGGTTCATATAGTTCAAAATTGGTTTTACTTGATTTTAAAAATAATCAGACCATTATTGTCATGATAATCGGATGGGATCATTAAAATTTACTTTACCTAAATAAAATGAAATTCAAATCAGTCAATTTAAAAGTTTTACTAAACAATTGCCCCAAGCATTTCTCTACGGTCAGAAAGTGCAGGTTGATTCAATAGTTTTAAGCAACTAGTATACGATGGAATATTTTTGCTCGAGTTCCAATGGAAATTTCGCAAAACAAACAACAAAAATATATGATACGGGATTCTTTAGACCACCGCTTTATGAAAGCAAGGGTACCTTTAGCTTTCAAAAAAGTGGTTTTAATATGAAGATTAAAATTAAGTATCTTGTCCATTCTTACACCCAACTAAACAATATTACATACTTGTTATAGAATATAATTATCGATTGTGATTGAAGATGCTTGCGTGAAAATAACATGGTTTTACATTTGTAGAGATGAAATTGCATACCATTGTTATTGCACCAAATTAATTAAATCGGTTTGTAAAAAGCTCCTTTCGTTTCGTTCGGCATGTAATAAAATTGTTTGATTAATTTATGACTGAAGACAAATCATTAATAAAAAAAAAATAAAGGAATCAAATCCAGGTGGTTACTTTGTGGAACGTCTAAAGCTACATCAATTATCTCTGAAAAATGTAACTTTAAATAATACTCTTTGCATTTTGTTACAGAAGTAAGATGATGAAGGTTAGGTTCAGATCACAGAAGACCTAGTTTTTTGATAAGTGTAAAATGATTTACTGTAACGAACGCATAAAACATGAATTACAAATAAAAGCAAATTAGTAACGGTAGATTTCTTTTTGCAAAACCCATGCCTTGAACTCTAAATTAATGGAAATGTGGGAAAAGTTAATTCGGTAGTAATTATTGCTTCGAACAGTTTTGATATAGCAGATAACCCTGCGATTCCCCTATATTTTTCAATCGAAGATCTACTGCAATTCTTATGAAAAAGAATTGTATACGCTCTTTTCTATATCAACAGAAAAACACTTTGCTTGAGGTATATGTATTAAAGAGATCCGTTAAATGTTAGTACAACCTTTAAAGCTATCAACTGATATAACACAATTTCAGTAGAAAGAACTGGGATTATAATTGAAGTTTGCGGACGAAAATGCTTCCAGGTGAATTATTTGAGTGACCATATATTATATTAGGTCAAGTAAACAGTTCGTTCGGTTTTTTTTTTATTGATTTTTCAAAAAATTATAACTTTGTGTACATTTGTCTGATTTAAGTTAAGTAGGCGCAGTTTTGTTCGTAAATTTCTTGCCAACGAGAGGCCAACTTCATTATACCCCTCTCGTAGAAGGCTGCGTCTCCATTGGCAAAAAGCTCGGAGAGAAATTTTCACAGGCCTCTTTTCAGGCCAACTTCTCACCATTAAGCGCGTTCACCACGGACAGGGAAAGGCTGTAATCACTTGCTGCCAGGTCCGGACTATAAGGTGGGTGCATTAGGACCTCCCATCCGAGCTCCTTGAGCTTCTAGCGTGTCACCAAAACGAGCGTGGCCCCGCGTTGTCCTGATGGAACACAAGTCGGCCTCTGTTGATCAAAGATGGCCTCTTCTGGATGAGTGCTGCCTTAAAGCGATCCATTTGTTGGCAGTATGGAGCCGAATTAAGCGTTTGTTCATAAGGGAGCAGCTCGTAGTAGATAATGAAAACCTTCCTGGCAGTCACTTCGGTCTTGGCCACAATGTGGGCCGCTTCCCCGAGCATTGATCACGACCGTTTGCGGACAGTGTTGTCGTGAGCGACCCATTTTTCATTGCTAGTGACCATCCGTTTCAGAGACGGGTCGATTTTGTTGGGATTCAGCAGCGATTCACAGGTAAAAATTTGGTCCATCATGTTTATTTGTGTTAGTTCGTGTGACACCCAAACATCGAGCTTCTTCTACCGAGATGGAACCTAGCAAACCACTTTTGTGCTACACGTTCGTTAAAAGTATCCGGCCGATAAGATAAATTAAGTTCTTCAGCTGCTTTGGCCGTTTTTCGCCTTGATCGAAGAAAAATTGTAAAATATAGCGAGTCAATCAGTCGTAAAACTGTCAAAGACAAACTGAGCGGAATAATGCGACGCGTAACACTAGTACTATGGACAATATCGCCATCTATTAAATAAAAACCGAGCGAACTTCTTACTTTACTAACTATATGCACGAGTATACACGTATTCTATAATTAGCGTTTTTGTAACCGCTGAAACGATTTTCTGCTTCAACTCGCCTTTTATTGAACAATTATCATAATTGCAATTAAAATTAAATCCGTAGTACGAAAAAATGTTCCAATCAGAAATAAGTAGTGAAAAATAAAAAAGATAATAATAAAAATAAAAGAAGTAAAGGAAAAAAATTATTAAATCAAATAAGGAAAAATCTAATGTCAACGTAGATTTTATAATATAAGATTTTAAGAGGCAGTGTATAGAGCAATTCTAAATACACTGAGTTCTGACACTTAAAAAGCGGAACGAAAACAAAAGAATAATGACATAAAAAGCCAACAGCAAAAATAAACAAAATGCTCTCACAAAACCAATTATAAAGGTTCTAAAACGAAAAAAAATTAAATCTGTAAAATGTATACTCTTTGCATGAAAACTTTAGAAATATGAAGTAAAACTAAAATAATTAAAATTAATGTAAATAAAACTTATCATTTATAGGTGCACACAAACATGGCACTTCTAATTTTTGGAAGCACAGAACTCAAAGCTCACTCATAAGTGGAATAAAACACAAGAGATTGCACAGCATAGTAAAACCACGGCTTTGCAGCTCGACGTTTGCTTTATTTGCGGCAAAAATAGTAAAATTTTGCGAAACAACTGAAAGAACAGTAAATAATAAACGTTAAATATATTAGGTCTACCGGAAAGTTCTGTACTAATCTATGATATCATTTTCGCCTCGTAAGCACAGGTTTATTTATTGCATGTTCGGCTCTATAATAAAGAAATTTTGCGAACTGACTGAATATTAAGTAAAAAGATTAGAAAAAAATTTGTTCAGAAAGTTTAAGTCAATATTATTAAACAAAAAAGAATGCAATTGAAATAATCGACAACAGTTTGTACGCGCAAGCAAAGTTGTCGTGTTATACTCGTATTATCAAGGCACAACTGCTATTTGCATTCCCTGAACTTTAATACAGCCGCAACGGTTGGGGCAAGTACTATAACTATAACATTCTTGGGTACATTGCAACTGAACGCCTGAAACGAAAGGAGAAATAAGCACAGATTTAGCAAGCGGAAGCAATGAACAGTGAGCGGTGATTTTTACAAAGAAGAAAAGTGTACATTTAGTTAGTTGCGCATCATGTAATATTATTTCATTATGTTTTTAAAAATGCTACAAATATCAATTTTTCCTTAGAATATTTGATCAGTGTCGGAGAAGAAAAAGTTTAATACAACGGAATTATGTTCTTGGAAAAGTGAACTTAGCTCGTGTGGAAAATTTAAATGTATTCCGTTTGGTTTAAAAAACAAAATACTTATAAACTAATAGAAATTTTATTCACCTTGTTGAAAAAAATATACAACTAAGGTTAGATAAATGCGAGTTTCCACAAAAGGCCATTCGCCATAGACAAGAACAGATGGCCATCGCTTCGTGCGATGTCCGGTGTATAATGCGGATGCATAAGAATCTCCTAACCAAGATCTCGGGTTTTTGGCGAGTCAATATTCATTGTCTAGATAAAACACAATACCCCTGTTGTTGGACAACGCTGGGCGCTTCTAGACGACATCTTCTTTCAGACGATCCAATTACTGATTGTATAGTACAAACTGAAGAGGAGCTGTTCAAAGCGAATAATTCTTTTTCAATTCACGTGATAACTTCATCACCAGTCTCCCTACG